CACACGCCCTGGACCTAGTTATCGTTGGCATCCCAGGTGGTCCTTTTTAGTCAGGGTGGCCCCACCCCTCGTCCTGCTCTCAGGAACCAGGACCAAAGATCTCACTAATGGTTTCCTGTACAAGTAGTGTAGATTCAAAAACCTAGCTTATTTTAACTCAAGGTTTTTGAAGCTCAGAAAAGTGAGATGATTTGCTATTTAAGTTTCCTTATTAGTTTCAGTAGGTAACAACTCTTTTCAGAGCAAACTTAAGTCTTGTTTGAGACTGATGTTTACTATTGGGTAGAGAAGTCAGAAAAACAAACCTGTGGCTTAGAGTTACCCAGGGACTCTGCTTTTTTCTCTGTGGATTTCTGAAGTAAGCCTTTGTAAAACACCACCAAAAATACCAAGTAAAACAAGGAGCAGGAAAAATGAAACAGCTTAAGGTAGAAAAGGTTAATGATTTTAAAACCATTTCATAATTAAGATTTTTTGGTTTATATGAGAAAGTATCAAATAGTAAGGCTTAAAAGATGATTAGGGACAAGATTCGGAAATTGATCATGTTCTGAAACTTAAGTTTTTTAAACCAAATTGGGTTGAGTCGCTGCCCTGGTGTTCATTATTTTTCAACCTTGGGAAAGTTATCTATTGTCTATGGACCTTGGTTTTCTCACCTGTAAAATAGGGATAATACTTTCTTTGAACTGCCATGGAGTTACATGACTGCCTAGCATGTGTATATAATGTATAGATCCAGGGATACAGGTATTGTCACTTAGACCAATACATGGTAAACATTAAACATTAAATAGTTGCTTTTACTGCTGTTGTCACCATTGTTATGATGACATTGTTAAATATATTTTATAAACATGGAAGATATTGTGAGTATACATATCAAAAATACACTAGTTATCTGAAACTAGACAGCCACTGGATATTTCAAAGTTTATTTTTTTCCAGTTTATGGAGACTAAAATAATTTACCTAAGTGTTTCTTTATTCTGTAGTTTATCAGAGAAGATATGAAATATAAAGATGCATCTAATAAGCACAGCCATCTACACAGGGAAGATAAGCACATAACTGTTGAGGACTTATGGAAACGATGGAAAACATCAGAAGGTAAGATGGTTCTGAGCCACAGTCCTGATCTTCTGCTCTCTGCCCTGCTTGGCCATGGCTGCTTTCCTAATCTGCATGTGGTTTTACCCAAGGAAGCAAAATCAAAACAACGTTTCTGTGAGGAGATTCATATTTTAGAAAAATAATTTTTTCCATTTTGGTTTTGGACTATGACTTAAAAATCATTCTTAGGACTCAGTAAATATCAGATGGTTCTTGTATAATTTAATACTTTATGCAGGTATAAGTATATATGTATACCTTAGTGCTTTAAGTTGTAAAGCATTGTTTCAGTTTTTACATGCATCGTTATAAATGCCATCAAATAAAAGTCAATCTCACTCAGTTTTTCCCTCCCTCCCT